TTTTTTTTTGGTATGTACAAGAGCATAGGAGTGCATATTTATGTGCATTTTAAGGATTGATGATTAGTGTTCAACCTTTTATACTTGTCCACTAGTTGAGAAATAGTATGACTTAAAGTTTCAGTTGCCTGCACCAAACATGGATATTTGTGTGTTTAGATAAAGGATGGCAGGATTCTAATCATTAATTATTATGAACAAAGATTAAAGCTATGTAGATTTTTTTTTTAATTATTTTCCTTTTAATATATTCTTAATTTAATTATATAATACAATAAAATTATTTAAAAAAACAATCAAGTGCGCTGAGTTGTTAAAAAAAAAAATACATATAAATATATGATCTAATAAAATCTAACATACAATAATATTATGGGAGATTCTACGGTCCCGTTACGGAACCATTTCGTTGGGGTTTGTAACCGTTAGATTAACTATGCACGACGGTTACATGATGATTTAACGGTTACAAATCCCGACGAAATGGTTCCGTGCAGTATTTTCCTAATATTATGCAAACAAGTGAATTGTTAATTCTCTCTCTATCTCTCTCTCTCTCTTAGAGCACTTGTTTAATTAATCAAGGATCAAGACATAATCATTCTACCAAATACGCAATTATATAAAAAAAAAAAAAAGGAACAAATATTTGGGAAAATAAATTCTGGATTGATAGTGATTGGGCAACATCACAACATCCAATTATTTTGACATTATAAATTGAATAACGGCATAAAAAATAGGTTGCTTGCTACTTTGCACTCTAATCACTCCTTTTTATATTCGTGAAACGTGTTTTTCAGTTAATTACTATTGCACCTACTAAATATATATAATGCCACACTAAGATATATCATATATATAACAAAAATTATTAAAAAAAAAAAATAAATAATGCAATTTAATTTGCTAGCTTTGAATCATGAAAACCACGAAAATGGCATTTTCAATTTTCAGCTTGCTTGTCAACAGAATTATGGATTGGATGACAGATTTTATTGGGCCTACTAAAAGTTATAAAGCCCAACTATCTTGAAGCCTATACCAATTTAAACTTGCGAGCCCAATCTAACGAGCTTGGGCCGTTTTCTTTTCTTTTGGTGTGTGTTTAAAGCATACTTGATATGTCATCATGTAATATTATTGCAAAGTTTATCATGAACTATTTTGATGATGTTTGAAGTGTATTTATATTAGACTTGTATAGATAGATACAACATTGTGGATAAATATTATTCATAACTCCATACATAATTTCATATGATATTTCAATTCATAGCAAAATTGAACTACTAACTATTTGAAAGTTAAAGTTGAAAACTTTCAACCATATCAAATAGATACTCAATTTAGTTTGATACCAATCAAATACTGATGAATAGCTAGTTAATCAAATTAGTTAGGTATTAACTATTCCAATCAAATATACAAATTGAATACGAACTAATCAAATCAACTGTGTTTTATCGATTAAATGTCATTCTCATTCAACTAATCCGCTTCGACTAAGTTGACCATACAATAACTAATTGGACTCCTCGTTCAACTGATGTGCATATCAAATAAATTGTAATTCATCGAGTAAATTTATACTACTAGTGAATTTATACATTTAAGCTATTCATTAAAATCTTAATAATAATAATAATAATAATAATAATAATAATAATAATAATAATAATAATAATAACTTCCAAATGTCACCCCTAAAAAATCTCCCTTTATCTTTTCCCTCTCTTTTTTGAGCAAATCACCTTACTTAAACATCACTCTTTCCTTTTAAAGCCTGCAAAATTTACTGAACAGCCCGTACGAAAAATTTAATAACCCAATTATCGAGAAAGCAGATACGCGCGCACACACACAAGCATTTAATAGGGCCTTTTTTTTAACCAAAAAAAAAATAATAATAAAATCCCCAAAAAATCTCCCTATATCAGATCCTGCCTTTAAACTCCCCTCCAATTTTGCTTGCATCATCATTGCACACAGTAAACACACTGTTCTTGCTGTCTCTGTACAACCCTCCTCTGTACAACCCTTCTCTCTCTCTCTCTCTCTGTGTGTACGTATATATGTATGTATATATTTGTGATTGTATGTATATATGTGTCTCTAACCTCATTCAATGACTAAAAGTACACTAGTGGTGCAATAGTGGTGAATAAAAATCATTTTTTTTTTTCTTTGACACATCCATTTTTCCATAAACCCTCACTTGTTTGATTCAGGTAAAAAAAGTGTGTTGTTTTCTTACCCCATTTTACTCACTTTTCTCATCACGCCCTCGACATGGATAAAGGGCAAAGGCCCTTTTTCTCCAAACAAAAGAAGACTCATGAAAAATGGTGCAATGAAGAAATTCATCTCTCTGCCATTTTAACAGAAGAGAGAGAGAGAGAGAGAGAGAGAGAGTTCAGATATTTTGTTTGTGATGATCATTTTCTTGCAGGAAAAAGATCAGTAGTGTGTGTTCTGTGTATGTGTGTGAGAGAGAGAAAGAGAGACAGCCAAAAAATTTGAAATTTATGGGCCCTCAAAAGGCTGCAACAAAGAAATGAGTGGAATTGCAGCATCAAAGAGTAGTAATAATATGCATAATTCATAATGCCTTTTTTCTTTCAAAAATAAAAATAAATAAAAGTTTGAGCCATTTTGTGTTATTAATTAATGGGAAATGCTATGGGTCCCGTTGTGATACCATCTCGTCGGGTGTTTTAACAGTTGGAACCACGTGTAGTTAGATAAGATAAATGATCCAACAGTTAAAACACCGAACGAGATGGTACCGTAACGAGACCTCAGTGTATGCCTATGAGGATTTCAAACTTCTATTAAATGGGTCCATTTATTCATTTCATTATTACATCTTTCCCCTTCTCCCCTACAGCCCTATCTGATTTTTCTGCAGGAAAAAAAATCCCAATTTTTTTTATTTTGATGGCTTGTTGTTAATTATGCCTTGTGGTCCATTAAAGCCCTTTGGGAACTGAGAAAATGAATTACCTTGTGGTTAATGTGAGAATCTCTTAGTGAAAAGAAGTGTCTTTTTTTTTTAATTTTTTTTTCAAGAAAGTGAGGAGAGATAAATTTGGGGCTGTAAAGATTCATGAATCTTGATGGGTTTCTCTTTTTCTCTCTTAAAGCTCTGAAATTTTCTCTGTTTTTTTTTTTTTTT